TTGGCGTTCCCACGACCTACGGTAGCGGTAATCGATCCTTCTGCTCTTTCCCCTACACCCTACAACCTAACCTTCTCCTTCTATTTCTCATTCTCTTTCCTAGAGTGCTTCTTGACCTCTTTTTAGAAAATACCCTCTCTCTCTCTTTCTTATAACTAGAAACGTAATGCTCAAATACATATGTACATCGTTAAAACATCACTAGAGATGTAGGTAGATAGAGAAAGTACGGTGTAACTTTCTTATCAACGATCGTCGACGAGATCAGATTCTATATTAATAGCAATCCTTTTTCTATTTGTTCATAATAATAATAATAATGATACTTCAACGTAAAATGTTTTTCTTGTTAAACTCCACTTCGATCGCTTAATCATAACTCTTCCATTTATCTAACAACGAGTGTGTTTACTTTAATCGAACGTATGAAAAATTATTTATTTATCCGTCGTCCTCGTTTCCAATTATCTTTTTTCTTTCGTTAATTTTTTTTTTAACAATTCACAATCGTACAGCATTATAAAATTATATCTGCTCAATCGAAATATAAATCCAACGATAATTGAGAGATTTTGCGAAAACAACGTTGAAATAAATAAATCGTACGAGGATCTAAAACAAATTTAAATGAATGCCGAACGATAAAAACAAAAATAGATATCCTGAACGATTCGAGAGTAGATTTACATCGAAGTGACACCCTTTTACCAAACGTTTCCACGAACAAGAAGACGTGAGCTAGTCGAGAAGACGGCACAATGGGAAATATATTCGCACCAAGAATGGATTCCTGGAATGCACCGTGCAGTTGGAAACTGCACGACCATCTCCGATCGTTTTGCATTCGAGTACCGCGATTTACTTCAACGGTCTATCTATTTCCCTTTCTCTCTGTATATATATATATATATATATTTCTCTTTCTCATTCTAGTTTTCGCTAAAATTCGCTCGTTCGTTCGTTGGCAGAGACTAGCCAACTTATTCCGTCTGCTTGGTGCAAACAACAATTCACTATGGCTAAGGTATATTCGCGATATTCTTCCTTGACTTTTACCGACCGTACAACAAACTGCTTCTGTTTGCGTGCTTCTATTTTCTAGCTCCGTCAAACTGCATTTGAATTGCTGTTAAGAGTTTTGTTGTTCTGATGGGAATAACCTGTCGAGTAAATCTAAAACAGGATATCAATCGATTTCCATAAACGTATCAAAATAGATCACCAAATCGGTTATTGATTCATTTAACCGCGCACGTTTTAACGCTAAAACTAATCCAACAATTAATAATATAATAAGTAAGTTTGATATTTTAATTTTGTTCATAAAATAATAACCATTAAGTTGTTTATGTGTATGAACTTTGATAAAATAGTTTTTAATGCGTTGATATAAACGTTGATTAAAAGATTTATATATATATATATATATATGTATATATTTTCCCATTACGCGAAAAGTATGATAGATTTTTAATTAAAATATAACGACTTCTCAGCGTGAAATATGTAGTCAAGACGAGAAGAAAGAATATCAAGCGGTCAGATCATGAAAACTCGAGCATATTTTTTCATTATCCTTTTAGGAGTTTTCCAACCATTCGATGTCACAGAGCAAGAATTTAAATTACGAATCTGCTCGTGCATTTTAGTTCATTCCTGAGCAAAATAAAAGAAAGAGAAAGAGAAAAAGAAAAAAGAGAAAGAAATAAAAAACGAAATCAGATTTTTATTTTACCTTACTACTTACTTGGTACCAACGAAGTTGACAACGAAACGATAAAAGTCAAATCAGCGTAATTCGTTATCTCGATATTCATTTAAACGAAGCGTTAAAATGGGATTCCAAAAGGAAGGAGGGTAGGAAGGAAGGCGGACAATAATTTACGAGTACGAAAGAATTCTTAACAAAGCATCTTCTTCCCCGAAGATAAAAGTTTTATTATTTTAATTCACTTCAAACACAAAAAGTCTAAAAGTGTAAACTTCTCTGGTAAACTTAAAGAGCAAAGAGAAAGAGGACAGGCAAAGAGACAACTAAATTATCGACCCGGTACGAGCAACTGCCCTTTCTTCTTTTCAAAAGTAAACTACGCAAATACTTACGTCAAAAAGGTGACTGACTATTGTTCAAAGTACAAAGTAAACAACTTGTTCCATTCGCAATGAGGAAAACTAGAATGGAGGTTTATAAAAGGTAAAAGTTATTATTATATGATTCTTCTTCTTCTTCTGTTTTTACTACACTCGATTTTATTTCCTTTAGAATTGAATCTTCGTTGAAAGTACAATACCTAACTCGATAACATTGAAAATATTTTTCTACGAACGATTTACGCAGAATCAATTATAAACGATCTTGAAAAACAATATTTTCGCGTACTTTTTTTATGGAATCATTTAGAGTCGTGTATGAACAGTTTAAGCGTGGACAACAAAAATTCGAGGTATGATAAATATACAAAAGTTTTAATAAAGACATATCATTCCGTGTTTCAAGGGA